TCTAAATAGGGTACCGTCTAAATTTGTTCAGACAACACCATATGAGATATAGAATGGTAAGAGACCCAACCTGAGTTACCTCAGGGTATGGGGATCGCCAGCATATGTCAAAACGTTGGCATCAGACAAGCTTAGTGCTAAGAGTACTAAAATTCTATTTGTGGGGTATCCCAAAGGTACTAAGGGATACTACTTTTACTCCTTGGATGAACACAAGGTGTTTGTGTCCAAGAATGCTGAGTTCCTTGAGAAAGATTTGATCTCTCAAAGAGCCAGTGGGAGTAAGGTTGATCTTGAAGGAGTTCAAGGACCACATGAACAGATTGAGGAACCCGAGTATGCTCCGCAGGCGACGTTCGCCAATGGAGAAGTAAACAGACAACTCCGTAGGTCTACTAGGGTCATCCATCCACCTGAGAGGTATGGGTTTGTGATTGAGAATCAACAAACCGTAGAGGATGATGAACCAAGTAACTATGAGGAGGCAGTCAAGGATGTTGACTCTTCTAAATGGCTTGAAGCCATGAAATCTGAAATAGATTTGATGTATCAAAACAAGGTATAGACCTTGGTTCCAAAACCGCAAGGAATGGTTCCCCTCGGTAATAAGTGGGTCTTTAAGAGAAATATTGATGCAAATGGCAACGTTCAAACCTACAAAGCTAGGTTGGTTGCGAAAGGATATCGTCAAAGACAAGGAGTTGACTATGATGAGACTTTCTCACCAGTTGCCATGATCAAATATATTAGGATCATGCTTGCCACAACAGCATATCACGACTATGAGATTTGGCAAATAGATGTCAAGACCGCCTTCTTGAATGGATTCTTGAAGGAGGAAGTGTACATGACACAACCTGAAGGTTTTGAAACCAAAGGCCAAGAGCATATGGTATGCAAACTGCAAAGGTCAATATATGGGTTAAAGCAAGCATCACAGAGTTGGAATATTCGTTTTGATGAAGTCGTTAGGAGTAGAATGAGGATGAACCTTGTGTTTACAAGAAGGTTAGTGGGAGTAATGTCGTTTTCCTGGTACTTTATGTAGACGACATATTACTAATAGGAAATGACATCCCCACATTACAAAAAACTAAAGACTGGCTTTCAGAAAGCTTCACCATGAAGGATTTGGAAGAAGCGGCCTTTATACTTGGTATAAAGATCTATAGAGATAGATTCAAGAGGCTGCTGGGTTTATCTCAATCCACGTATGTTGACAGGATGCTAAAGAGGTTTAGCATAAAAGGGTCAAAAAAGGGTTTTCTTCTCGTCAGTCATGGGGTACATCTTTCCAAGGCTATGTGTCCTAAGTCACAGCCTGAGAAGGATCGCATGAGTGGAATTCCATACGCTTCGGCTATTGGATCTATCATGTATGCCATGATATGTACGAGACTAGATGTCTCATATGCTTTGAGCATTACAAGTAGATACCAGTCTGACCCTGGTGAGGGTCACTGGACAGCATTCAAGACCATCCTTAAGTACTTAAGAAGAACTAAGGATGCGTTTCTGCTCTATGGTGGGGTGGATGAGCTTTCAGTGAAAGGATTCACTGATGCCAGCTTTCAAGACAAAAATCAGTCGGTTCGGTTAAGATTTGATGAAGTTATAGAGGGAAGAAATCAAAAACTCAAATGGACGGGGGGGGGGGGGGGGGGCTGTCACGGTTTAGAGAGGAAGGAGAGAAGATAATGAAAGTGTCATGCTTATGTGTCTTAAGTGGTTTTAAATGAGGTGGGCCCCATCGCCACCTCACGCGATTTCAAACTAACTTGAATTTCTCTCTGATTCCCCTGAACGTCCATAAATTCATAAACTATTTAGAAACTCTAATTTTTAACATTAACCATTGTCCTTTAATTACCCATGATCAGATGAATCCTGAGTTTTCCGGTCGTTCAGAGAAAATGTTGTTTTAAGCTGTTACGCGCGTCGTAGGCACGCTTCCCCAAACTTACTAATTTTCGTCGAATTTCATCAGAAATCATATTTCCTAGTTCTATAAACCATTTATAACTTGTATTCATAATCTAGATCTCAAAACTCAATCGGTATGTTTTACGGAGCAATCATACCGCAGTATTTTTACCCAGTAAAAATACTATTCACTAAATTTTCTGAAACTTGCCCATCCACTCAATTTTTCGTTCTGAATCCATTTCCAGGGTTATTTTTAACATCTGAGACCTTCTACTCAATTTTACCTTCCTAGGGTTGCGTGTTTGGCTAATTACCGTTTTACCCTTCCTTTGTATTTTGACCTGATTTTCAAGATATTCACTAATCCTTCCCTTTAATCCATGTTTAATATATTAATATATAATTTAGAAATACGAGGTGTTATATTCTCCCCTCCCTTTTGAAATTTTGTTCGCAAAATTAGCATCGTACCGGTCCTCTGACTCGGGATATAGCCAGAGAATCTCGTCTTTTCAGTCTCAAGTCCTCAGGTGTGCATCCTTATCATTTTACTTCCATCACAGGCATAACCTCGTTTTTGTGGTGTCCATCGTTCCCCAATCCTTCACAAATACTTGTTGATAAACCCTTGGTAAGGGTTTATCATGTTTTTAGGCTAAATTATATAAGAATTATGTAGTAGAATGCATGGAATTCAATGTTTTAATACAATTAAGGCATAAGATAGGAAATTGAGCTGATGTGTTGATAATATTTGCATTTTGAAGGTAAAACCTCAAGAAATGGTGCTAAAAGTGCTGAAGAAATCATGACGGAGAAGTAATAGCTCAATATGGACCAAAGGAAGCTAAAATATTACAATTCAAGGTCCAGAATAGCATGCTCAAGCGCACAAGAGGACGCTCAAGCGCTCTAAGGCAGGAAGAATAGCCAAACTGTACAAGTTAGGGCGCTCAAGCGCCCATTAGCCCGCTCAAGCGCCCAGGATGACAAGATTTCACTCTCGAGTAGCACGCTCGAGCGCCCAAGATCACGCTCGAGCGCGCTAAGGCAGACAAAAATAACAATTTTAAGCAAGTTAGGATGCTCAAGCGCCCAACAGCGCGCTTGAGCGCTCAAGTATGTTCCAGACAGCAAGATCTGGCAAGATTCCGCTGAGATTTAATGAAGATTTGAGATTGTGACATCCGAAACCAAAAGAGGAAACATATCAAAGATGATTCAAGAGCAGATTGAATGAAGATTATAAAGGGATTCAAAGTCAAAAATCTCTCACCAATCTACAAGATATTAAACGCAAAAGGAAGCAATTATAAAATCAAATACAAATCTGATATAGATTCATTGGGAGATTTAATGACGGATACAACTCCTATGGTTATAAATAAGGAGCTTGGGGTCAGAACCGAGACACCAATTCACAATTCCAGAGCATTACACCAAGCTTGAAGGAGGAATCTTGTTGCGGAGCGCTGGAACACTGAGGAACCAAGTCAACATCACACCAATGGAAGCTTGGGGTTCTCTTTTCTTTATTATTCCTTTTCAATCCAGTATGCTAGAGTAGTTTTTTATGTAGTTAAGGGTAGATGGAACCCACTTGAATCTTTATGTTTATTAATTAAATTGTCTCTGAATCCTGTTCTTTTTATAATTGAATAAATTATCTGTTTTTAATGTTTTCTATGAGTTTGTTCCTTATAGAATGATTTTGGGGAATTGTATGACAATAGGGATGTTGGTGCATGAACCTTGACTTGATAATTTATCATAATCCTTGTGATCTAGGAACAGGAATAGGAATAGACATAGAGTAATTATACAATCTTGTAATTCTTGATCTTAATGCATGTTTTCTTGGGGAATAATCGGGGAACTAGAGTTCTTTCAAGATTGCATAGATTTATGGTAACAAGGAATTGAACTGTAATTAACTCAGATAGAATTGATTGGCAATATTTCAAGAAATGGATTCTTGGCTTTTTAATTCATAACATATTGAGGATATTGGGGAAAATCGAAACCTTAACTACGCTTTTTAAATCTTAATCAAACATCATCTTCATTCATCCTTTTAATTCTGAAATTTCATATTGCATGCCTTTACTTGTTTTTATTTTTAAGTTCTTTTAACCACAATTCTTTTCATCTAAATTCTCTAAAACCAAACCTTTGATTGTCCAACTAAAACGCAATTAGTGAACTAGTGCTTGAAATTCTGATCCTTGTGGGAACGATCTCGTACTCAGTACACTTTATTACTTTACGACCGGTGCACTTGCCGAGTCGCTATTAAGTTTTTGGCGCCGTTGCCGGGGATCGAATTCTTCAACATTAGAAGTAACTAATTAAATTTTAGATTGGACATTTATTTTTTCTGCACTTTAAGCATACCATAAAAACATTTTCTCCATACAAAAATTCTGCATATTTAATTTTCTGCATTCTTTTCTTTTCTATTTTTTTTGTTTTGTGTTTCCTATTTTTCTGCACATCTTTTCAAATCTTAGTTTATGCGAGGTACTTCTAACCCGCGACTCTTGCAGTTTGATCCTGAGATAGAAAAGACAGAGAGGAAACTTAGGAAAGACGCAAAAGCAAAGAAAGCGAAAGAAACAAAAACAGCATCAACTTCTACGGAGACAAAGGAAATACCAAAAGAGGAACCTAAGGAAGAACCAATGGCATAAAACAACAATCAAATTGTTCGAAGGACATTGAGGGATTACATGACCCCAGCTCGAGCTCCACAGACAGCGAGCATTGTTAGACCCAACATAGAGGTTAACAACTTTGAACTGAAGCCGACATTACTGCAACTGATTCAAAAAGAACAGTTCGCTGGAGGAAGCACATAGAACCCCTATTGTCATCTTGATGACTTTTTGCTTTACTGTCATACATTAAAAGTAAACGGAGTTTCTCGTGATGCTATATTGCTCAGGTTATTCCCATGCTCACTGAAAGATGAAGAAAGAGATTGGTTGCAGTCTCAACCTGAAGGAAGCATAACCAGTTGGGATGACTTAGCCACGAAATTCTTGGCCAGATTTTTCTCAGCTTCAAAGATGGCTAGGCTCAAGGCGGAGATCACAGCTTTTGAACAAAAGAAAGAGAATCTTTGTATGAAGCTTGGACACGATTTAAAGGATTACTCCGGAAGTGTCCTCAACACGGTATTGAAGCATGGGAGAAGGCAAGAATCTTTTCCAAGGGATGACAGCCAACACAAGAACATTGGTAAATGCTGCTTCAGGAAGCTCATTGAAAACAAAAACTCCTGAGGAAGCACTTGAACTGTTGGAATCATTAGCATCTCAAGAATTTGACAATGCTCCAGCCCAAGTTGCACTAAGAAGCTTAGGAATCATGAAGCTTGAAGGCTATGACGCACTCTTAGCCCAGAATGAACAAATGCTACAAATGCACAAGAAACAACAAGAACAATTAGATGCCCTTAGTAAGAAATTTAATATTTCTCAAGTTTCTTCTGTTTCTAATGCTAACATTAAATGTGATATTTGTCAGGAGGCTCATGCAACTGAGGATTGTGAATACATCAGAAACACGGAAAAACCACCAGCGGAGGTCAATGGACTCTGGTATGATCAAAAGAACTCGAACAATCCAGGAAGGAATCAATATGGTAATCAAGGGTGGAAGAATAATAATCAACACCCTGGGTTGAGTTACAAGTCAAACTACCAGCTGAATCCTCCTATGCCATTGCAACAACAACCTCAAGGCACCACATCAGAATGGGAGAAGGCTTTTGCACAGCTATCCAAAACAACATCCGACTACATTCAAAATGCAGATGCCTTCAGAGATGAAACAAGAGCTTCCTTCCGGAATCAATAAGCTTCAATCCGGAACTTAGAGACTCAAATTGGTCAGCTGTCAAGGCAGTTCACCGAAAGAACCCAGGGCACCTTTCCAAGCAACACCGACATGAACCCAAAGGCACAATGTAATGCAATTGTCACAAGCAGTGGGATCGTGATTCAGCCTGTGGAAAAACCGCCAGTTGAAAAGAAAAAAAAAAGAACCTGAAGCCGAACCTGAAGCTGAGAAAGAGAAAGAAGAAGATGCAGTAGAAGCACAGAAGAGCATTCCAGAGAGAAAGCTGTTCAAATGGGAGAAAAAGAAAGCTTTGGACAGACAACCAAAAGCAGCAGATCCGTCTCCTTATGCAAAAGTTCCATACCCTCAACGGTTGAAACAAGAAGTCCAGAAACAGCAATACACCAAATTTTTGGACATCTTCAAGAAGCTGCAAGTCAACATACCTTTCGCAGAAGCCCTGGAAAGCATGCCGAACTATGCGAAGTTCATGAAAGACCTTCTATCAAAGAAACACAAGTTGAAGGAATGCAAAACAGTGGCCTTGACAGAGGAGTGCAGTGCAATCATCCAGAAGAAACTTCCTCCCAAGCTGAAAGATCCAGGCAGCTTCAGTATTCCTATTGAAATAAGAAACATTGAAGTTGGAAAAGCATTATGTGATCTGGGAGCAAGTATTAACCTGATGCCACAGGCCATGTGCAGAGCTCTTGGAATCAAAGAGCTCAAGCCGACTACAGTTTCTCTCCAGTAAGCTGACAGATCGATCATACGACCAGATGGGGTAATTGAAGATGTTTTAGTTAAAATTGACAAATTTATCTTCCCTGCAGATTTTGTAGTTCTGAATATGGAAGAAGTCACCGAAATTCCCCTATTACTTGGAAGGCCATTCTTAGCCACCGCAAGGGCAATGATTGATGTGGAGTAAGGAAAACTGACGCTGAGGGTGAACGAAGAAACAATCATCATTGACGTCTTCGAGTCAATGAAACATCCGTCAGATGGAGAAGATTGTTTTATGATAGACATAATACAAGAAGCAATTGATGATGCTATGAAAGAGGAGAATTCCCCGCTTGAGTTAGAACAAATCAACGAAGAAGTTGAAATAACTGATAAAGAACCAGTGGTGGAAGAACTTAAAAGAAAGAAAGATGACATCCCTCTTGGAGCACCAAAGGTTGAGCTTAAGGAGTTACCTCCAAATTTAAAATATGCCTTCCTGGGTAACAACAACACATATCCAGTCATCATCAATATTGAGATAACAACTGCTAAAGAAGAGAAGCTTCTCAAAGTGCTGAAGAAACACAAAGCTGCCATAGGATGGTCTTTCTCTGACCTATAAGGTATAAATCCTTCCTTTTGTACTCATAAAATTCTAATGGAGGATGATATTAAACCTGTGAGGCAGCCACAAAGGAGACTCAATCCAACCATGAAAGAAGTGGTTAGGAAGGAAGTAGTAAAACTATTGGATGCAGGTAAGATCTACCCTATATCTGATAGTGGATGGGTAAGTCTTGTACAAACGGTACCCAAGAAAGGTGGAGTTACCGTGGTGAAAAATGAGAACAACGAGTTGATTCCAACAAGGACAGTCACCGGGTGAAGGATGTGCGTTGACTACAGAAGACTTAATACAGCCACTCGGAAGGACCACTTCCCACTTCCTTTCCTGGACCAGATGTTGGAGAGACTAGCTGGCCATGCCTTCTACTGCTTCCTGGATGGGTACTCAGGTTACAACCAAATAGCAGTAGCTCCAGAAGATCAAGAAAGGACAACATTCACATGCCCTTACTGAGTCTTCGCTTACCGGAGGATGCCCTTCGACTTGTGCAATTGATGAACCCTTAGTTCATCATGGTTTTTAGCAGGAATTAGGATCAAATTGTGTGATTAAATGATGAAAAACAAGGTTAATTTCCTAAGATGTCCTCAATTACAAGTTCAAGAGATTTATTGGAAATTTGTATGATTCTTGTAGGAAAAGCAAGCTTGAAAGGCAACTGGAGAAGGAAGAAGATTCTGGAGCTCAAGAGGAGAAAAAACTGCCTAAGTGTTGAGCGCTAAAACGTCCACACTGAGCGTTTTAGCGCCCTGCTACAGGAAGAGGCCAAAACTTGTTGGTGATGAGCGCTAAAACGCCCACACAGAGCGTTTTAGCGCGCTGCTGCACTTAGAAGATGGAAAATTGCTGGTCTTGGGCGCTAAAACGGACTGCAATAAGCGTTTTAGCGCCCTGAAGTGGATAAAGGACTCTGGTCTCCACCACTAAAACGTCCAAATCAAGAGTTTTAGCGTTGGAGTCAGTTAAAGTCAGTTGAGCATTCACCAAGTTTGGACGCTAAAACGGTCATTCCTTAACGTTTTAGCATTTTTGTCAGTTAAAAGCAGTTGAGCATACGTAAAGCATGGACGCTAAAACGGTCACTTATGGACGTTTTAGTGCCCACATCAGTTTTCTTTTTTTAATTGTAACATTATAAAAGGCAAAGCCTTCACACTTAGAAAAAGATCTGGAATTTTCTCTCTCTCTCTTAAACTTTAGTCTGACTTCTCTCTAAATTCTCTTAGTGTTTTAGTTTTTGTATTAGGATTTCTTTGTAATAGTTTGGAGATTGAAGACTTTCAACATGGAAATGAAGTTTGATTCTTCTTTTCTTGTCTATTCCTTAGTCATGTCTGAGTAGAGTCTTTGTAGTCTGAATGCAATAGAACTCCATGATAATATTATGTTGATCTGATTAATATGATGAAGTATTTTTCATGTGTTGATTTGAGATTTTCTGATTTAATTATTTCTATCAAGGAAGTAGTGTAGAACAGGGATGTTTATATGACTTCTGTATCTGATAATCTCAACATCAGAATTCTAGTACTCAAGGGATTGATGCTAGAGTTCTGATGTAATCTTAAGACTTTAGTATTTCATGCATGTATTAAGAAAGAGATCACCAAGGGATTGGGGTTTCTGATTAATGTATCTATGATGGTAGTAAGGGATTACATCTTGATGATAAGTAAAAGGTTGATTAACATCACATGGAAAAGAATTCATCATATGATCAGTTTTTACATGGGTTATTATGGAGGAAAGTTGTTTTCTGACTACTTGTTGTTTTATTAATTCTTAATCCAACAACAATGCTCCTGTAACTTTCCAAAGGTGTATGCTTTCTATCTTTTCTGATATGACTGAGAAATCTATTTAAATTTTCATGGATGACTTTTCTGTTTTTGGTCCCTCTTTTGACGTCTGTTTAGAAAATTTATCTAGTGTTTTACAAAGATGTCAAGAGAGTAATCTTGTTTTAAATTGGGAAAAATGCCACTTCATGGTAAAAGATGACATAGTTTTAGGACATAAAGTATCCCAAACTGGTATAGAAGTAGATAGAGCTAAGATATCTGTTATTGAAAAACTTCCCCTTCCCTCTAACGTTAAAGGTATTCGAAGTTTTCTTGGTCATGTAGGTTTCTACAGACGCTTTATCAAAGACTTTTTCAAGATAGCAAAACCACTATGCAAGCTATTGGTCAAAGATGAGGAATTCAACTTCACAGACGAATGTTTGGTAGCATTTAATATTTTAAAAGATCAATTGACCACTGCACCTATTATCACTGCACCTGATTTCACACTCCCTTTTGAATTAATGTGTGATGCTAGTGATTATGCCATAGGAGCTGTCTTAGGACAAAGAAAGAATAAATTGTTGCATGTGATTTATTATGCTAGTAAAATTCTGAATGATGCACAAATGAATTATAAAACCACTGAAAAAGAGTTACTAGCAGTTGTCTATGCATTTGATAAATTTAGACTGTATTTGCTGGGGTCTAAAGTAATTGTATACACTGATCATGCTGCTTTAAAGTATTTATTGAATAAGCAGGATGCAAAGCCACGACTACTGAGGTGGATGCTGCTCCTTCAAGAATTTGAAGTGGCGATCAAAGACATAAAAGGTGTAGAAAACTTGGTAGCTGATCACCTCTCCAGAATTCAAGAAAAAGATCTTCAAGACGGACCTGAGCTGAAGATCAAAGAGGAATTTCCAGATGAGCAAATCATGGCTATCAATGTCATCTCGGATCCGCAACCAAAGGAAGTAAAGACAACAAGTACACCTCCTTGGGTTGCAGACTTTGCAAACTTCAAAGCAGCAGGAGAAATTCCAGTAGACTTCACATGGCAACAAAGAAAGAAGATCTTACATGACGTCAAGAAATACTTATGGGATGAACCCTTCCTTTTCTACAGATGTGCTGATGGCGTAATAAGGCGCTGTATTCCAGAAGAAGAGATGAAGGACGTCCTGTGGCACTGTCATGGTTCCAGCTACGGTGGACACTTCGCAGGAGAAAGAACGGCTGCAAAGGTGCTGATGAGTGGTTTCTATTGGCCAACACTTTACAAAGATGCAAGGAAGTTCGTTGAATCATGTGATAGATGTCAGTGAACGGGGAACATCTCCAGAAGACATGAAATGCCCCTCAACAACATATTGGAGGTTGAGATCTTCGATGTATGGGGAATAGACTTCATGGGACCCTTCCCTCCTTCCTATGGCAACAAATACATCTTGGTTGCGGTTGATTACGTCTCCAAGTGGGTTGAGGCTATTGCCCTTCCTATTGATGATGCTCGGGTGGTCATTGCATTCTTGAAAAGAAACATATTCGTTCGATATGGCGTACCGCGAGCAATCAGAAGTGACGGAGGAACCCACTTTGACAACAGACAAGTGGAATACGTACTGGCTAAATGCGGCATGAAGCATAAGATTGCCACACCATATCATCTGCAAACAAGTGGTCAAGTGGAAATTTCCAACCGAGAGATGAAACGTATCTTGGAGAAAACAGTGGGAAGCTCCAGAAAAGATTGGTCCAAGAAGCTTGATGATGCACTGTGGGCATACAGGACTGGTAAAATGGGCCAGGTACGTCAGGCTCATGACGTAAAACAAGCGCTACTAGGGAGGTAACCCTAGGATTTATTGCATTCATAATTCATTTACTTCAATTTTTTAAGAAAAACACAAAAAAAAATTAGATAGTTAGTTAAGGTGATCAAAATTGAGAAGTTGAGTCACGAAATGTACGCTCGAGCGTGCAAATGACCGCTCAAGCGCGTGAATCCAGGAAGTATATAATTTTGGGGAATTCAGCACGCCTGAGCGCCCCTATGGCCGCTCACGCGCGCTAGATGGAACTCACAGGGGTTACTCCCTGACTTAACGCGCTCAAGCGCGCAATCCAGCACTCAGGCGCGCTCACAGAAGGAAAATCCAAATTCGAACAACACGCTCGAGCGCGAAATTGGCCGCTCGAGCGCGCTTCTGCGGTCCTGATTTTTTATTTAAAAGTTGTTACCCTTATTTTCCCTCATCCCTTTCTGCCCACTCCCCATTTCTCACTCTCAATCTCTCTCAACTACACGTCACTCCCTCACAAGTTTTCTTGTCTTTCTTTGAGTGATTGCAATTCAACTTTGAAGAATCATCAGGTATGCTTCCTCTTCCACATTCCTCAATTCATAATTTTAATTCTTTTCCTTGAAATTGATTGACTAAGGTTTTGGGAAACATCCGATTGAGGTTTTAGTGGTTAGGGTTCATGCAATGCTAATTGGGGGTTTGGGAATAGATTGCTTGTATTTCAAATTGAGAGCTAAGTTTAACTAACCCAGGATTCTTATACACACACTCTTCTCATCCATCATGATTGTCACAAGCATCACATGATAATTATGTCATCTAAGTCATGCACAAAAATTGTTCGATGAAATGCCACTATGAACTCTAGACTTATACTAAGTGAGATAGTGACAAACTAATTTGCATAGACTTACTGCATATTGTGAAAAAAAAGAGTTCATCCTTGCATTGTTGTGTAGTCATGATATCAGCTTTTGAATTATGTAAATTATGGAATACATAAAGGGATAAAGATTTTAGTGTTTCACCATTTTAGCATCATTCCTTTATTTTCCTAAAAATGGTTCATTCTTGAATAAATTTTTCCCAAATGAAATACTACAAAGGATGATGGATTCATTACAATCTCCATAATGTATACATGTTTAAAGACAAATCTGGGAGTGAAAATGCCTTTCAAATTTTGGTGATTAAGATTGAATCATTTACATGAGAAGCATGATGTATCATAAATTTGGGAATTCCCAAAATGCTATATATTGACTTGCAAATACTTTTCTGAGTACAGGATGTCAGGAAGAAGCAAGAGAAACAGAGGCACCAAGCAAACCGGTGCCGGTTCTAGCTCTCAACCTCCCGTAGTGGATGTGCAACGGTTCAAATCTCCGGCTCATGAGTAGCGGTACCATACTCACATCTTGAGCAAAGCTGTATGCAAGGAGAGAACTCTCGAACTCACCATGGGCCAACATCCCGATTTCTACAACAATATTACTAGGAGGGGTTGGAGGAACTTTTGCACCTTGCCAGTGGTGACTAGGGAGGATATTTGCAGGGAATTCTTTGCTAATGCTTATAAGGAGAAACAAGGAGGAGGATGCATACGATGCTGCACATAGAGAGGCTAGCATAGGTCCAGCTACTGATGGCCAGGACGATGATGGCGAGGACACGGTCATGCCACCAGCCATAGTTCGTGATTCAGAGGATGAGAAGATGGATGATTGATCACCTTGGCCATTTATTTTACATGCTTTATTTTAATTTTATTTTGCATGGATTATGATGTTTTATGTTGTTTTGGTATGACATAACCCTGTGTTGCAGTATGATATTTCAGCGCTGTTGACTGATAGTTTTTACGATGCTATTTCACGAGGAATCCTAAAGTTATGTTCACTTAGGGTTTCAAACTAAACCTAATCAAGGTTTACTAATTAAACCTAATTAAGGGGTAAAATGATAACTTAAGCCTAAGGTGAGTGTGAATCCTCATAGGTATGTAATTAAATGATGGAAAATTATAAGGAAATAGCCTATATACATTTCGGCCATATCAAGTTAATTAGGGTTTTAGGTTGCAAAGTGGTAAAGGATGATGAATTAGGGTTTGATTGTATGATGAAGGATTAATGCAACTTGTGGATTGAAATGTGAGTTGAATTTCCATGATGATTAGCCTTGTTATATGCCACAGCCAAGTAAGGAATTATGACCTTAAATTGGTTGATCTTTGAGTTAGTGGCTTAGAGTATAATTAATTAAGTTAAAAAGGCTTAAATGTGAATAATCTTTGAGAAATAGATTATGATTATTTGAATTGTCATAAGTTATGGACTTAAGTCTTAGGATTCTAATGTGAATTAATGTTCAAGGTTATGAATGACATATAGTGATGATAAATGTCTTGATTAGTCATAAGATAAGTGGAAAGAGCCTTAACTTAAGAGGTTTATTGTGGAATAAGTGTCTAATGAGTTGTTGTTGACTTAGGTAACAAATAAACAACTTGTGTACCCAATGTATGTCACGTCCATGAAGGATGTATGTGGCTACGATGAGTTAAAAATATTCCTAGTTACCTTAGTTGCCATAGAGTTTGGTTCTAAGATGATTGAATTGCTTAAATCACATAGTTATTTGTGTTGTAAGGTAACACTTTTATATAAGCTAAAACATGTAATTATGTAATTAATGGTCTAGACTTGTGTTGGGCATATTATTGGCATATGAGTATGAAAAATGGAAATAAGACAAGCATGAAGACTATAACATAAGGGTGTGTCTTAAAGGAAATAGAATCAATAAATGGTTAAGTCTTGTATATTTACTTGACTGATTAATATATAATTAATGGATATGCATGATTCCTACTCTAGGTGTGCCTAGGGATACCTGCTTGTGAGGACATTGAGTTAGAGTATACGTGCTTGCCTTGGCAAGTGGGCTTGTGTAGAGTTCTCTGAGGTAAGCTCTGTGTTTAGGATATTCTTCTTCTCTTGTGGCTCCACCATGATGGTGGATATTATGGTTGAATTGTATGAAGGTATGAGATATGTTGTATATGTGCATTCATTCAAATTCATATAGATATTATATGATTCATTATGTTATGATGCACTGGTGATGTATGCTATGAGGATCCTGGCCAGTGATTGGGTATGTAGGCTTCTTGGGTCATTCCCGTGAAGTTATTTCATACTTTATAGATATTTGTGTGTAGACTGCATGTGACTGGACTCTGGGGTTTATTGCACACTAGGCATGTTGGACATGTTAGGATGTTGGCTATTCTTGGTTTAAGTCCTTGAATAGTTGTTTATAATGAGATATGATGCTATGTTTATGATGTATGATTATATATATGCTTTATATCTAACTTGTCATGCAGGAAGTGATCTTAGGGGAATAGAGGATTCTCTATAAACCTTGAGCTTACTGAGATTGTTGTTATCTCACTCTTCTTGGGGACATCATTTCAGGTACCTATCATAGTGGTGAGCCCTTCATGGGCAAGGACTAGGCACATGGCTAGTGGAGTTCCAGTTGGATATTTTTATTTGATAGCATGTATAGTGTTTTAACATGCTAAAGTTATATTATTTTGAGACTATGTTTATTGTGTAATAATGCTCATAACTTTAATTTGATAAGCTTATGGGAGAATTATGTATTTGTTATGGATTTATTTAGACGTATGTATTGACCCATTGAGGGGATCACAGTCCGTGTGGGACTTGTGAGATTTCTGATTATATTAACTGCATCTATTAGGTTTATATTATTGAGTGAGATTTTATCTCCCAGATATCCGTTAAATAGTCGTTATGCTGTTTGTGAGACTCTAGCAGAAATGACACTTGTTGTCATATCTGGTTAGTCAATAGCCACTAATAATGGCTAATGGGATTAGTTAGTAAATGTATGGTTTAGAATTTATGCTTATGCAATATCTCATGTGAACGCTTTTGGAAATACTTTTAGAAAATGTTTTGGAAAAAGTTAACTCATATTTTTATAAGACGATTTCATATGTAATAAAACAAATTCTTTCGTTGTGTACGCTATATTACCATGTATGTTAACAACTGGAGTACTACGGGGTGTTACAATAACTATTTAAATTTTACTACTGATGGTACTAATTTGTTTGATGTTAAAGGATTTTGTGATGCAGACTATGCAGCTGATCTAGATAAAAGAAGATCAGTGACTAGCTATGTCTTTACTATTGGAGGGAACATAGTTAGCTAGAAATCAAATCTCTAGCATGTGGTGGCCCTCTCAACAACTGAATCAGATTATATTGCACTAACCGAGGCATTAAAAGAGCCTTATGGCTTAAAGGTATAGTATCTAAATTAGGACTTGGTAAGGATGTTCCCAAGACTTTTTGTGACTCACAAAGTGCAATACACTTGTCCAAAAACAGTGCCTCTCATGAAAAGACCAAACACATAGATGTTAGGTTGTACTTTATTAGAGACATTATCTCTAATGAACAGGTTGAGGTGAAGAAGGTCTCCACTTCGTGGAATCCTGCAGACATTTTCACCAAGTCCGTTACTGTAAACAAGTTTATGGATGCCTTAAGCTTGTTGAAGGTTCTGGGTCAATCTTGTTGAGAATGTAGGGTCAAGGAGGCTATCTCCATTATCTGGTTCTTGCGTGCTACCTTATGGAAATAAGGTGGAGTTTGTTATATGCATACGTGTGTATTTCCATAAGTAGCCTTTGCATATTGCACTGTTATGTTTACTGACTTCAGGGTAACTTTTTCTTTCTGTTTCATTTACCAAAAACGCTGCATTTCACCTAATATATGATATCTGGTTGTTACTCACATTCATTCATTCGAAATTGCTCTCTCTCTCTCTCACTTCGATATTCTTTTGCAAAATCTCTTGTACAAGCTATGCTAGAGTTTCTCTTTGAAACCTGATTTCTAACCTGATAATCATGATTACTAAGCTATTTTTCTTATGGTTTTTCTTGTGCTGGTTGTGTGCACTGATTGGTGGTTTTCTTGAAGAGTGAAGCTTCGGTGGTTGATGAAGGAAGGAGGTTTCAGTGATACAATAAGGTGACATTCTTGTGCGAAGATTTCCTGGTAACATAACTTTCTTGTGTGTGGATGTAGGAATCTTGGTTTGATACCCAAGTTCTGATCTTCTTCTTTATCTCTTTTATTGTTAAAGAAAGACTAGTATCTATAAGAACCCGCACCGTTAAATAAGATATTTAATTATTTAATTATGCAAAATTAGGAAATGATTCCATAATTGACCCTAATAATTAATAAGAGGCCTTAATAATTATAGTAAGTGATTCAGAATGCTGAAAGTCGTTTTTCGGAAGAAAAGTGCAGATACCGGTTCTGCTAGTCGGTAGAAATGCGGACCGAAAAAGTATCCCGGAAAATTAATGTAAGTGCATGATAATTACTAGAATAATATATAGGACTTGTAAAACGAGTTTCAAGTCCAAATAATAAGAAATAGTGCCAGAAACTGATACTGGCTATGAAAAACGCCTACCGGAAAGGTAATATAAGAAAAATATGATAATTCTTGTAAAATTGAGTAGGTTAAGAATCCAAAGTTTGAGATTAAAATGTTAAGCGTAGCAATTAAAGTTAATATTGCGTGTTTAATTGTTAAGTGGCTATATATACACTTACTAAGGGCACAATGCCCTAGAAAACTGCCTCTTCTTCGTGGGTTTTGATGGCTGGTCTGATTGTGTCACTGTTTCATCCCTTTCTTCACCATTTCTTGAGCTTTGAGGCTTTCTCTTCCTTGAAAGCTTCTCTTAAACACTTGTGTGAGGGAGAGTCACCTTTGGGAAGGGGTTTGTGGTGCTTTTTCTGAGTAAGGAGGTCAGCTTGAGGGAGTGTTGGGGGTTGACTTTGGGTTGGTGGAGTGAGTGAACCTTGTGCTTCATTTTTGAGGTCCAAGGAGCCACCTTTGGTGAGGAAGAGCCTTGCTTGTCTTCCATTTTCACACACCCTGTGTGGTCAGTAGTTGAGGGGCTGTTGGTGAGCTCCAAGAGCATCTCCATCCTCTGTTTTGGACTTGTGGTATGATCATCACACTTTAACTTGAGTTTTATGCTTAAAAATGGAACCTTGATGCATCTAAAGGCTAAAAGATGATAACTTAACGTTGGGTAATGTCAAACACACCTAGAAATGCATGTTTAAGTGTTTATAATCGGTAAAAACCCAACCTTGGAAGGATATCTTCACGAAATGTAGTTTTTGCATTCTGTCGTGAAATATCCGGATATCTGCCCGTGAAATATCCGGATATTGCATATCCGGATATGTCCCGAGAAATATCCGGATATTCTGGGATTTCGAAGAACAGTAGTTGTGCTGTGAGTACAGTAGGCTATTGAGGGTTTGTTGGAAGCCTTAAGACGTAAATCGTTAAAGGAGAACGTAGTCTTTATGTTAATGCTTTTGAGCTATGTATGTTGATACACTTGCTGGTCCTAAATCAGATTGTGATCTGCTGTGTGTTGGACTTGAGCTGTGAGGACTCTTGGCATTGGATAGTGAGCTTGCAAGGTAAGCTTTCGTGTCCTCGGTTTAGCCATGTTGTGGTTCCACCATGTCCCATGGGGGTATGGTTATATGCATGCTGTGTTACATGCTTTTGATGTTTTGGAAATGCTATTGAGTTGTTATATACTAGTGCCTTCATGATATGCATGTGGTGTTCCAC